GGGGGTGTTGAACAATCTCACCGAGGGGACAGTGTTCACGTGTGGCTGTGACTGACACCCAGGTGGCCCTGGGCCCGGAGCGCCTGCATTCTCACACCTGCCTCCACCCTCTTTTCTGCCCGTCAGTGTCCGGCCTGGGCGGCGGCTGCTGGTGCACCTGTCTGCCACCTACACCGGACAGCAAGCTCCTGCAGGACAGGTGCCTCCTCTGCCCTCTCCCTCAAAGCCCTGTCACAGGCAGAGATCCACCTGTGAACACAACAATCGTGGCTGGGTCCCTCTACCCTGGGCTCCTCTCCTGGGCCAAGTGCTATGTCATTCTGCCCATCAACCCTTCAAAGCAGCCCGTGTGCGGAGCAGCGTGGGCTCCGAGTGAAAATGGCCAAGTCAAGCTCAGGCAGGGGGTGCCCGGGCTGTGCCTGAGCCTCGGGCTGAGCCGGGCCCGCTCTCTGACCCCGTGCGCACTGATCCACCCCCCTGGTGCCCACCGAGTGTCCACAGGCAGATCCCAGCGAGCGCCCGGACACCCCAACATCACGTCTAGGACAAAGTACTCAGAGAAAATTTGTCCTATTATGAAGCCTACTGGAAAATTTCCCAAGGCATTTAAGACATGCTAAGCTTGCCAATTTCTGCTTTCTAAAAAATGAGACACTTTTTCTCTCTCCTACCCTCCGCTAGTGACCACCTGAGTCTAAAATACCCACAGAGTTGTGTGTTTTTTTAAGAGACAGCAAACGTTTAACTCTTACCAACAAATTTCTGAGGCATAGAGCTCTTACGTTTGGCGACGTTACTTGCGAGCCTGTCCAGCACCAGGGCTCTCTCGGCTCCTGCCTTGCACAGGTCTTCTGCCATCTCCCCGTGGTTCGTCTCTTCTTTAATGACTAAAGCCAAAGACATCAGAGAGGCCAGCTTAGAAATGCTTACGGGGAATGGTCCAGGCCTGTCCTGCGTTACCCCGACTCAGAGATTGTTTCCAATCTTCCTAGCAACCTGCCCAGTGACCGCACTGCTCAGAGCCGCCTGCTGAACACACCTGTGGGCTCCACATTGTCCCCCAAGACCGAGGACCGAATGTCGCCGCTATTAACATAACGCGGACTGTGATTCATTGTGTCCCTTTGACAAATCCTCTTAACTTTTCAAATACTCCCTGATCCCCTAACTCGGTCAGTCCTGACACTGGGCATCTGAGAACCGAAGGACTGTCAGAGCCAGAAATGACCAAAGGGTCCGACTCCCTCCCGGGCGCAGGGAACTGAGTGAGAAGCAGAGGAAATGCTCGAAATGCTACCGCAAATCCTGGCAGCGGGAGAGAACCAGCCCTCCTGAGCCCTGCGCACGCAGAGGAAAGCAAAGCCCGCACCCGGGGCCGCGGGAGAGTCAGGAGCCCTGGGGGAGCTGCTGCCGGACGGAGGGGGTGCTTCCCGCGCATCTGTGCTCTCCTCACATTGTCTCTTCCTTCCCGCCACTGAAGATGCAACACTGTATCCTGCATGGCCTGCTCTATATCCTAGTTTTATACGGTTGGATTTTTGGAAATACAGCTCTTCCACCTCCCTGCAGTTCATCCTCATGTGCACGGAGCTGAAAATGTCAATGGACCATATAGCTAATCAATAGCTAATCAATTCTTCCCACACAGTTTCTAACCAGTCCCTTTAACCCCAGAGGATGTATCGCAGGGTCTTTGCAAAGTGTATCCATTTCTCTCCGTGTCACGGCTACATTTTAACACAGCACGAGACAGAACTCTTCTTTCACAAAATAGCCAATTCCCTCACTGATTTTCTCCAGAGACACTTTCCAGTACATGGTTTCCAGATTCCAGTAAGATTTCCAAGCCCGTCTGCTGTGAACCCACGCCCGGGTCTGGGAGACCCACGCGCGGTGTCCAGCCCTGTCCCCCCGCCTCCCCCA